TTCAGTTACCCCCCCCCCCCCCAGACAAAATTTTCCCATCTCCTTTGTGTATGCAGGATGATGCACTTGTAAAACCATGGCTACCTCATGTAAGTGCAGCAATAGGTGTGTTTGTATTGCTATATCTGTATGGCTTGTGAACTTTGTCACCCTGTGAAGTGGGATGAGTCTCTGGTTTTATTACTAGGACTTCTAAGGCCATGAAGTGTTTTGGTAGCCGGTCTGCAAATGGAACCCCAGGGACATGCCTTCTGAATGCCAGGAGATTAGCTGCTGCTTCTGCTTACCTCCAGGTGCTTTCTTTCATGAGGTTTTTTCCTGTCCTATTTCAGACAGAAGCGTAGCATGGGCCTGACCTTGGCAGAGGGCGAACTGACTAAGCTGGACGCGGAACGAGTCCGTGACCGGAGCGTGCTGGAGAAGGAGAGAGCATGTGCAGAGCAGATAATTGCCAAAATTGAAGAAGTTCTGTAAGTAGCAGGGATTGTTGTGGGGGAGGAGGTGGGGTGGTACAGACACTCACTTGAGTCTTGATAGGAGTAGAGGAAAGGAGTCAGAACTAGGAACAGCTCATTGTTATCACCTTTTCCCTCCTCCTTACTTGGCATCTGGTAAGCAGGTGGGTTGCCATCAATATGATGATGACCAGGAGAAAACCATCAGAGAGAAATATCCCCAGGTATTTTGCACTATGGATTGGGTTATACCTGGAGTACTCGCCTCGTGGCAAACCCAGAGCTTCTGGCGGTAATATTTGTAGTGTCAGATAGCTTGGGAATCCCTTTTGTTGACTTGTAGATGCTTGCAGTCTTGGAAGGGGGTTTTTAGGAAAGTGCTGGGTTTTTGGTTGTAGCTGTGCTGGACTAAGGACATAGACAGGCAAGGTTCTTTGAGTAGATGTGATCTCTTTTATTAGACCAACTGAGTAGTTGGAAAAAAATTCTTTGCATGCTTTTGGGTGCAATCACCCTTCTTCAGGCATAGGGAGTCTGTGCTGTTCTGAGACTCCAAGGAATGAGAGAAGCCTTTTTAGGAAAGTTGCACTCATTCTCCCCACTGATTTTTTTCACCAGCTGTTTGGTGGGATTCAGAGGGATATTGTACAGGTGGGTGGTGCTGGGGTGGATTGGTGTCACCTGTTCCTTTTCTGATTGGCGTCTTTCTTGTTTTTCAGGGTGTCATCTCAACCTTTGGAAGAGGACAAGAGGTAAGGAAACGGTTCTGTGCTGTTAGTGTGTGACGAAGCATCCCTTCTCCCCTGTGATAAAGGGTCAAAGTGCTCATGCTTGCAGTGGAGCCTGAGACTTCTTGTGAATGGGACAAGACGGCCCTCTGCTGGTTGTAGCACAAACCTCCTTTCTCAAGCGTGTGCTCCGAGAGCTCAGTCCCAGCGGAGCGCTGCTCCACCAGGACGGATTTTACTGCGGCTGACACTCAGCCACGTTGCAGTTTTAAATACATATTTAAGTTATTGCTGCCTCCAGAATTTCTGAGTCACTTTCTAAATTGCCTAAGTTTTCCCTGCTGACTCGCGCATGCTTTGGATCAAGGAGTCTGTTTTGCACTTGCAAGAAGGCGGATTTTGTGAGCGACTAAGGTCTTTCCCATCATCTGGAAAAGAACTGAGCGCGGAAATTGATGCCCTAATGCCTAAGGAGATTTTTGGTTAGAAAAGCAGTTGTTAACCTTCCTACTCTGTCTCCTTAGGAGGCTTTGACAGTTTAAGTTTTTTACCCAAATTTACTTTGCCTGCTTTTCCTTGCTTGTGTTCTGCAGCTCCACCATGCAGTACGTGATTCTCACCTACATGAAATACTTGGGGGTGAGAGTCAAAGAGCCCCGGAGTCTGGAGCAGAAGCGTGGACGTATTGGTTTCCTGCCAAAGATTAAGGTAAATCGTGGTATGGCCAGGGAGTTTTGTCCCCCATTTTCAAATGTGGGTGCCAACAGTGAGGCTCCTGAATCCATACTTGTGTGCCTAAATTGAAGTGACCACGACTTTCATTGGTGCTGTGTGTCTACAGTCGCCAGTGATTTGAAGCGGTACTGTGGTGACTCGGTGTCATCCAAGATCAAGTGTCAGTCCATATTCAGACACTTGTATGTGAAAAAGCTCCTGTCCTATTGGACTGTTTAATTTAATCAGTGTCTCCTCATACTTCCAGCCTTGTAAAATCTCCAGGTAAGGAAATAAATCCAAGAACCTACCTTGCGTCTTAGTAAGTCTTATTTTATCCAAATGAAATGTTGGGTCTCTACAGCCTATCCTCTCTTTAATAGTGATTAGCGCTTGATGCTTCAAAAAGAAGCCAAACCTTCCCTCTTCCTGCCATTGACGGAGCACCAGTTGTAGGTCTCAGTTCTTTCCCCGTAACTCCCTTCCGATCAGTCCAGCAAGTTTGAGGTGCCGCACCGGTCTTCTAGAGGCAGCATTTCAAGTCTGTCATCTTTAGTCACTTATTCCTTCTCAGCTCTTGGAGAGAGGGCTGGGGTGGTGTGGGCAGTAAGGCACACGGCTGACAGCCCAGAGGTTGCAAGTTTGAGGGCTGTCAGATTCCAACAGATCTTCAAATTCTGCTAAATACCTTGTGACAAGGACATGAAAAAGGAAAGAACCAAGTGGAGAGTGCAGATCCCTTTGGAAATATTAATCCTGTTGTGTGTAGTCCTGTACCGAGAGAGTTCGACACCCAGACAGAATAGGCCTTTCCTCTCTCAGACCTCAGTGAGGCTGAGAATCAGTGGATGCAGCATTTCAAGGAACTGAGTTTGGAGGAAGAGGGGACCCATTTTTTCTCTTTGTGGTGTATCTTCTGCAGCAAAGTATAAAGAAAGAGAAAGAAGGGGAGGAAAAGGTGAAGAGGAGAGGTTTCCCTAGCATCCTGGGACCGCCGAGAAGACCGAGTCGCCATGACAGTGGTGCAAGTATGTCAGATTGTGAAGCTCGTGCTTCCTCTACTAATAGTTGGTCCATCTGCCTGTTCACAGCTGTGTTGCATGTGTGTCGTGAAAAGCCAGCCAGACCTTGACATTTTCCTTAGGTGCCTTCCATGTACACAGTATCTTTGTGTATTGGCTAAAGACATCGCTGTTGCCCAGGAGCATGCATAGCCATTCAGTAACTAGAAGCCCACTAAGCTTGAGAGGGGTTTTTGGGGGGTTTTTTGTTTTTTAAGACAAGTGAATTAAATTATTCATTGAGATCTCCCCGAGGAGCTTTCCCCCTGCTGGGTTTCTGGAGACAGGTAAAACTGTTCAGCTGTCTAACTGGCTTTTATCTCTTCAGTTGGCAGAGCCATGGAAATGCAGAAGCAGCGCCATCCAAAGTACTTATCCACAGCCTCTTCTGTTAGCCCAGAGCCACCAGACTCTGGCAAAACACGCCAGAGTGGATCTTCCAGCGATGGCACAGATGTAGCATACCCAACTGCTAATCCTATGTCTCCCCTGACTTCGGGACCTTTTACCTCCCCAGAGGCAAGCAAAGATAGTGAGACAGGTAAAGAAAATGCTGGGAAAAGGGAATAGCAATGGTGTCATGGATGGGATGTACAAAGCTCAGTCCCAGGTCAAGGGATCGGTGGTACCATTGAGCAGTGAGGTCCTCTGCAATTAATCACACATTGTGGCTCTTGGTCTTCACTAGTCTGTGGTGACCTGTCACTGTTCTCAGCTCTGGAAACCTCACTGTGACGCAAAATTGGTTTCTGAATTGTTTTATTACTACAGCATTTGATCAGCTTTGCAGAAGAAACAGCCCTAACTTCAGTGCTCAAGTACTCAGTCCTATAGAAACAATAGGCTGCAGGGTTTCAAATATTTCTCTGTTTAGGGCTGCTTTCTGAGATCAGGAGTTCTTGATTTTTCTCCCCCTCAAAATAAGAGGAGACCTGGATGTCAGACTTGGCTGCACAAGTGCTGGTGTTGTGCAGCCCATGGAAACTGAGCCGTTCTTGTTTCAGGCCCCAAGCAGACTGGAGAAGTTCTACCATCTAGTGACTCTGTGGATGGCACCCCCCGCACACCTAATGCCACCTTTGATTTCCCTTCCCCACCCCTGGACCACTTGCAGGAAGAGGAGGGAGAACTTGAGAGGTAATTGGCACAGGTTATTTGGGGCTGGCAAGGCAGTTTATATAGTAGATCTGTAGATCTTCATTAGCAGCAGAGCTTGTTTTGGGATCTTAATGGAGGGAAGAGAGGATGGTGCCCTCTGACCTTCTACTTTCCTTCCATTGCATTTGCAGCAAGCATCTTGTATACCACAAAGATCCAAATGTAAAGTTGAAAGGGTGCAAATTAAGCTTGAAGATTTAATTCTGGAGCCTGTTATGTGTCTGAGCAGAGCAAAATCCCATTGCTCACATATGTTTCCATAATGGGGTTTTTTGTTTGTTTTATGTTTTTAGAACAGCTGAGTTGGGAACACCAAAACCTTTCCGCAAGTGAGTATAGTAATCAATTTGTGTGAACTGAAGAGTTTGTGTTGCTCTAGAGTAGGGCTCAGGGGTGTAAATGATTTGAGTGGGGATAGATTGCTAGGTACAGTGACCTAGGTAATTATCCTGTACTCAGATAACATGTTTATGAAATGCCACATTGGTGTCCAGATTGAATACGGCACATTCATTGTTTCAAAATGTTGATCCATGGGTGAAAAGCACTAGGTATAATTACCACTGCTTACAGTGTTGTTGGATTGGGAATCCTAGGCGCTGCTTGAGAGGTATCTTTATCTCAGGATCTGCAGATGGGAAAAGGAACAAACTTTTCCTGCTCCCTTCTGCTTCCACTGAGTTGTTGTTTGACCTTGGGCAAAGAAGTTCATCCCATCATTTACTATGTTGAAAAGTAGGGATGACAGTCCTGAGAGTTGGGGGAGGGAAGAAGGGGGTTCATGAGTATGAACACTAGGATTTGAGGTCTCTGTAGCTGGGTCAAGTTCCAGACTGAAGTGGGAACCCAAAAGTCTGAGGGTTTTGTCAGAGCATTTTACAACTGTTCTTTCCACTTCCCCTACCTGAGACTGGAGGTGTCTGACTAGTATTCTGTATCCTCGTAGGATGGAGAGCTTGGGCTATGGGGATGTCCAAAGTGAGGATGAACTGTATGATTTTGATACAGACACTGATCCTCCCAACTGGCAGCAGCTTGTGAGTCGAGAGTTGCTGCTGGGGCTGAAACCCTATGAAATCAAACGCCAAGAAGTGATTAATGGTGAGTTCAAATGCTTTTCTAGTTGGCTCTGCTTCTTGGAGCCCAGGAACCTGTAAGGTTCCTTAAACTTATGATTAGCACTTTCATCACCTTGACAGCTTGATTTAGGAACAAGCTGTCTTTTCCAGCCTGCAAACTCCTAGCATGTACAGGCTACTGACATACAGTTAATCCATGGTAGTAAGCAGTCGGCTGAGGGATGTGACGGGTTAGCTTACATCATGCTGGGAGAGTGGAGGGAGTGAAGGAGACCTACCTCCTGTGATGTCACACTCCGGGTCTTCCCTTTGATTCAGATCCTACAGGTCTGGCGAGCTCTGTGTGAGATGGAGCGAACTGTCTAGTTGGGATAAATTATAAGCTCCTGCACTCAGAGCATGGTTCCTCATGCTGAATCTGGGCTGGCAGGCACAGTTCTGATGGGGCAAGTGATTTCCACAGGTTCCAGCGTCTGGCTCCGCAACAAATTTCTACTTCTCAAATGTAATTCGTGAAGTCAGTCCTGGCAGATCCAGGCTTCCGGCTTTAGGCTGTTTGAATCTGCACTGTAGCACTGTGCAGAGGCAGTAATACTGATCCTGCCTTGCTCCTTTTCCTTCAGAGCTGTTTTACACAGAGCGAGCTCATGTCCGCACGCTGAAGGTTCTGCATCAGGTCTTCTACCAGCGCGTCTCCCGTGAAGGGATCCTCACTCCCTCGGATCTGCGGAAGATCTTTTCCAACCTGGAGGACATCCTTCTGCTCCACAGTAAGCACAGCCCCGCGTAGCTCACAATAGTAATACTGCCTGTGCAAAACTGAAATAGCCGTGGGCTGGTAGAAGTACTCGACGTACAGGTGGCCCTTAAACAGTGGATGTCTCTGCACAGTGCTTTGACAGGATAGGATTGCTCGGGGTGCATTCCCATATTAAATACCCACACTCTTTGTTCTTGGCTTATATGTAGAATGGCTCAGAAGTGTTTATTTCCAGGGTGCTGAATGCCTGCTCGTTTTCATCTGGTTCCTCAAGCTTGCCTTGTCTCTGCGTACATCCACTCTGTCATAGAGACAGTTTCTGTGAATGCCCTTAGGCACATGCTCAAAAACTAACCAGACAGATACTAATGAAGAGAATAATTTGTAGAAAGCTACATAAGGGAGCAGTAAGTCTTTGGCTACTGCTGAAAGGTCCAGTAATGGGTATAGTAGGGGTCTGCTAAGAGCCAAATCTTCATCCCTGCCCGTAACTAGTTGGCTGGGTGATTTAAGATTACAGATTGTAGGCCACTTGCTCTGTTGTTTCTGTTCCCCATGCATTAAACACATGAAGAATGAACCTTGCGTCACCTTTTGAAGTGGGTAAGTGATGTTGGAAAAGTTTGTGGAGGTCCCTAAAACAACAGGTAGCACATAAAAATACAAACGGTTATTGTTCATGGGGTTTTTTTGTTTGTTTTTTTTTATTGATCTGTGTTTGTAGTTGTATGACTTTCTTGCATAAAATAATTACAAATCCGGTCTCCCTTTGGAATAGTTTTCATTTTAAAACCAGCAGCAAAAGTGGTAAGCTAGAATGTTGTGTTATATTAATTATTACCATCTTTTTTTTTCTTTTTAGCTGGCTTGAACGATCAGATGAAAAGTGTCCGAAAAAGGAAGGAGACATCGGTTATTGATCAGATTGGAGAGGACTTACTAACTTGGGTAAATTGAATTTCTTCTTCTTATCCTGAAAGGTAAATATTCCTGAAAGCAAGAGTCCAGTGACATGGTAAATACAGCCACAGGGTGACCAGTGTAATTTGCATTTGCTACAACTTTTAATATCTGAAATCCATCATTTCTGTAGAGCTAACAAGGAGCTGGGGACATAGAACGGAGGGAGCCCAGCATGGAGTATTAGCAAGATGAATGTTTTATTCATTCAATTAAA